GAGTGATCAGGGCAAAAACCTGAGACTCAAGCATCCCAAAATGTTCTCCAACTTCCAGGCACACAGCCTTGGATGAAATGACATATCTTGAGAGAAAGAATTCTCAATCTTGGTGTTGTTCCTCTGAAAATCCTGGAAGTGGTTGGGCAACTCAACACTTGACAGATGAATCTCCAAAGAAAATCACTAGAATGTTCTAGCAAGCCGGACACAGGAGGAAATCTCAGCACACAGTAAAAATAAACTCCATTTTGTGTGGTTCTTTTCTGTTCCAGGAAAAGTAGCTTTTCTTATTTTAGTTTCTGCAATTGTGGTATAGTATTTTTTTTTCAAAGAAGTTTCTTCTCAAGTTACCTCCAAGTAAATTAAATGCTATTGGATTTTTGAAGAGATTATTCAAAACAGTTACCAAGTTATCAAAGTTCCGTCTATGCCAGTGTGAGAATGAGGAACTTATAAGGAGATTCACTTCCTGCCTGCAAGGAGACTGACAGCCCTCACTGTGTGTGCTTGGAGCTGCTGGGGAGAAGCCCTTGAAAGGGCCAAAAGACCCTTCCGACTTCAACACAGTCGATTGAGGTTGCTAGTCGCTCGTGTGCTATAATAGGAAGCACCGCTTCCAAAGCCCAGAACACAATAACTCCTTTGCCCCTTTAGAAAGGGGCCCAGCATATGGGATGCAACTAGTCTAGGATAGACACTGAGCCTCCCACACTTTTAGCCATACTTCTTCTTTGACCACTTGGGAATAGTAATCATGCACCTGAGCTGATCAGCTGACAGTATTTGAATTCTACTTTCTTCTTCTTCTTCATCTAAACTTAAAATCCCACATTTTCACAGGTTAAAAAATGTATTGTCCAAGTTTATAGCTTATGTATCAATTCAGCTAACATGTGTTAAACACTTCCTGTGTGTGTCAGGTACCATACTAGCCACTCACTCATTAATTCAAAGACATACACACAAACGCAGTGAGTTCCTGGGTTCTGAGTTGAGAAGCTTGCAGTTTAATGAATATACACATTCAAATACATACATTTTTGTGCTCTTACTAAAAAATGTGCTTTGGTTTTGTCACCAAACTTCCACACCATACACAGTGTAGGCACGCATATAATTTTGATTGCCAGCTGAAATATTAGCTACAATTGAAAGAGCATGGGATTCTGATTTAAGAGGACTCTGTAAGGGCAACAATTAGTCATTCGACTATATGTAAAAAATGACGAGTTATATTGCACCTGGGCTTCTCAACTACCTCACAGCACATGGTAAATACTGAGATAGCAGATGAAGTAGAGTGTGGCACTCTTGGCAAACATTGGGTGCACAGTCAACTGGTGGCCATTATTAATCTGAGACTCCATTCTCCCATCTGTAAAATGGATAGAAAATACCCTTTAGTTATTTCTTGAGGGCTAGATAGCTTCTGTAAAGTTCCAGAAAGCCAGTTTGGTTTGGGGACATGCCGTTGTTTCAGAAAATCTTGCAAACTCTCAAATGAGAAGCCATAAGCTAAGGCAATGAATGGCAAGAGGGCTGGCTGGGAAGGCAGTCAGGGCAGAGGGAATCATGGTGAGGCGGAGGGGTCAAGAGTAGGCCACTTGGAATGGGAGCGTGTATTTGGTAATCACAGCCACATATCTGACTATATGGTGTGAGAAGACAAAGCGAAGTAGCAAGAAGATGCTAATATCCAAAGGGCAGAAGAAGGAGACCAAGTCGGGAACTGAGAGAACAGTGAAATGACAAGACCTACTGAAGAACCAGTGTGGAAGTTCTGAGAGAAAAGAGTCCCCAAAAGTGTGAGTTTGATAAATATATATGTACGCTGAAGCACATGTCTACCAGATGAGCCATCAAGCAAATGCAAGGGAAGAATGTCAGCATTGGCATTGTGTCGCTATTGCTCAACTCCCAACGATGGCACCTCTTCACCTTCTACTCACCTTGGACAGTTAATTCCACCTCTGCTTTATTTCTCCCGACCAGATTAACTCCTTCACACACGTAATTTCCAGAATCTTCCGTTCTCATAGCAACTAAGGTAAGAGTTGCATTTCCTGAGAGGAGCTGCAGATTGCCATTATCTAATTTCTTGCTCCAGAAAATCTCAGGAGCTGGGAGACCCTCACTGGAACATGTCATTGTCACAGCGTCACCCTCTTGAAGACTTCTGGAGGGATGTACAGAGATAACTGTATTCTTGGGAGCGACTGAAAAGGTAGAACATAATGTGAGCTGTCATTCAGCATCATCTTCACCCAATGGGGATGATTTATTCTCTTGTAGACTGTACTTATGTGTCTCTACAAATTTGACAAACTTACCTGCCAAGTCAAGAATCACCGAGTCATTAAAAAAAATGAGCCAATCTAATTTCTAACCAGTTAACTATAGTTCTTGATATCTGATGTTTTCAGGGAGCCACAGGAAGGTGGAAATTAAGAGAAGCCCTTCAAGTTTCATGGTTCAGTCTCTTGTCTAAGAACTGGAATCCTGAGGAAGAATCTTTGCCAAAAGCACATCCAAGCTTCAGCACTTACTGAGGGAGACACCCTACTCAGGGCCATCAAATTGGCATTTGAATATCACTAATTACTTTTAAAAAGTCTCTCATTGAGTTGAAATCTTCCTGGAAGTAGCTAGCATTTGTACAAATGTCATAGTTTAGTCCTGTGCTCTTATGGATAAATGGCAATGCTCTTTCTCACATGACTGCCTTTCAGCGGCTTAACTATACCTCTGTCTCAAAGTGTTGTATTCTGTGAGGAGAAATAGCCCCTATCTTGATTGGTTTCTCAAAAGGTTGTTAGAAGTTTTTTTCCATTTCATTTTGTATTGAGTAAACCAATTTTACTTGACACCAACTCTTTCCTACTTAGGGCTCAGAGTAGAAAACATTTTAGTTTGAACAGAGCACCGTGAGTTGCTTAAAGACACAATTCTAATATAAGAAGAAGCTTCAGATCCACCAGCAGTCTCCAAAACCTGGAAGACAAACACTAACACCTACTGCATGTGTGTACATGTATGCACACTCTTGTACACACACACCCACACACACACACACAGAATAAGAAATCCTCTTGTAAATTTTTTATGCACGTGAAACCAATGTTTCAAGGCTTATTATAAAAATTTATAGAAATTTTATCATTTGAGCCCACTTCCTACAATCCAAGCAGTTAGTGTTGTGTTGATTCCTCCACGATAAACAGGAGACTAGAGGAGTTGAATGATCTTAACATCACTCAGCTAACAGTGAAGCAGGACACTCAAGCACTCTAAACCCAAACCCAGTATCCTGCTCTTTTAACAATAGCATTTATAAAATCATGTCTTGAATAAGTAATGCAGTAAAAGCTGCACATTTCTTGTTAGTCTATTTGATACATTTATTGTAACAATAAATAAAATAATACATATCTGGGACTGAATTCCCATAGACCAGAGCTCCTCATGCAAGTACTTACTGTGAACTTGCAGTTTGTTGACCGTCTGCCTTTCTTGGGTCTCGGAATCCATTTGTAACATAGCTCGGCAAACAAGAGCTTTCTCAATATCCTCAAGGCCAGGAGTAAAGGTGACTTCCAAACTCTTGGTTTCCAGAGACTTCTTCTCCATAACTTCTGCAAACGTCTCTGTCTTCAGGAGTTGGTCACCTTTGAAGAGTTCCATTTCCAGTCTTTCAGATGGGTAAACATCAGAAGCCAAGCACTTGACCATGACAGGCTTCCCAACCTCCAGGGGACCACTCAGCTGAATCTCTGGATCCTTAGGGAATGCTGCAAAGCCAAGCAAACGCACAAGTAGGTTTTTCGGCTCCTGATGATAGCATCTCTGAATGTTTTAACACAACACAAGTCAAAACAAATGTTTTTGTTAATACTCGGCTTAATCCAGCATAGCCACTTGTTTAAATAGCAAGCCACGGTTCGTGGAGGACTCAGGAATCACGAATCAGAATTAACCACGTTTTAAAGGCCATTTCAGTTTTAATCTTGTAACTGTTGAAAAGTATGTGTTACTGAAGGAAAGAAGAATGAAAAGCCTACAATCTATTGAAACTCCACAATAGATGTACCTCAAAGGGCTTTGCTTTCTCTTTGCTGTAACCCTGGGTGACAGAGGCCACATTTCACAGATAAGGAAGCTTGGACATAGTGTGATTGCAGAACCAGCCTCTGTCACGCAGCATGGGGAGGTGGGGGAGCAAAGCTCATGTGTCTGTCGCTCTGCGCTGTGACTCCAGAGACATACTACGCCCTGTCCTCTTATGCTAGTGCAGGTACAGTTTCAGATGAGAAACCCACCATTCAGAATGACGTTGTAAAGGAGGGTCCCTGTATAAGACTGCCGACAAAATGAAGAGAATGACTTCAGGGGGCTGGCTTCTGAAAATGGGATCTCTGATAAGAATTCATCCACCAGAAAGGCATTCATTTCTAAGAGAGCGCTCCATACTGGATTCATTCCCCCAAAAGCCGAACTCCGCGTTCTGACCAGCACTCTACTGAACCCACCAGCACAGTGGAACACAGCACATTGCCTCTGCCCCTTTCACATAGTTTATCATATGCATATACACATGTATATGATGCATATATGTCATGATGGGGGCTCATTGGGGTCCCAGTACTACAGAATATTACAATCAAATGTGGAATAGAGACTGAACTGTTACATACAATGGGAAACAGGCTCTCTTGCAGAAAAAAAAAGGCTACATAATTAAATCCAGAAGGTTCCTCACTTCTCTTTTTTAACTCTCCAACTGTACCGTACTTGTGGGCAAAGGCAAAGGAACTGGAAATGCTTTATTATCTAAAAACATAGTATTTTAAATTTCCCCTCCAATTATTTATGTCCATCGCAGTCTCCAGGAAATGTGCCTGGCATCCACACATTTCATGACAGGTAACATAAGAACTTGCCATTCCTCCCGATATTTATATAACAGGACCTTGCACGGAGCTCAGGAGGCTGCCCAGACATAAACTATGCAACACAGCCAGCATAATTGAAAGCAGCCGGCTAAGCTCAGCTGCTTGGGAAGCCCAGCTCCACAAGGGGTTTGCTGAAATTTCAGTGAAGGTTAATGGACAAAGGCAGGCTTCAGCACAGTAGGAAGGAACCAAGGTAGTTAGAGGATGAATCAAACGCGAAGAAATGCCTATGTGAGTACATTCTGGGGTGGGGGAAGAGATGCTGTCTATAACCGAAGACAAACCATTTCTATAGGATTCACTATCCCCCTCCCCTTTGCTGGTTCTATTTGCTGAGTTGAGGATGGGAATGGGATGTGTTTGGGGTAGGCTGGTGTAATATGGGTACCTGTTCATATTTCTGAGACAAATCTAATTTATTAGATAAAAATCTTTGGGATGGAAAACCAAGGCTTTATGGCAACAACAACAAGAATGCTCAACTTTATCAGTGTTAGATAAATGAGATGTTCATAGATGTTATGGTTATGTCTAAAGAGGAGGCTTATACACTCATAAATCTGAGTCTGCAAGCACATCTTAAGCTCCAAGTTGCATAAGAATAAGTAAATGGAAAATACCAGAAAGCGAGACATCATCAGCCGTCAGATGCATGGGCAAGTGAACATGTAGAAATACAGGCAGATGAGAGGTTGAGAAAAAAATAAACAGAGCCTATGAGATGCTCACATTTCAGCTAAGGGTTGGACTGAAGAAATGCAAGTCTTGCAAGGCACCATTTTTTGTAGCAAAGACACAGGGGTTAAAATTAGGATTCTTCTTCGCATCTTGCTCCTCCTTGTCTCTGGCTTTATTGAAACCATCTAGCCAAGAATCTAGATACATTTAACTCCATGTATCATTAATACAGCAGCATCAAGAGAAAACCAAACCTCTTTGGGGCACTTACAGTAGACGTCCACCTGGACCGATCTTTCCAGTTTCCCCGATTCGCAATATACTGTGCACACGTAAGAGTGTTCATTCTCAAAACTGACAGAATCCATGGTCAGGATGGACGCAGTCTCATTTTTCCTCATCTTCGCACTGAGCGGACTGTCTATCTGGGTTCTCCAAGAGAAAGATGGGGACACACAGCCTGTGGTTTTGCAAGTCAGGGACATGGAGCTCCCAATCTGAGCCATCGTTCTGTATGTAGGGGAGATCTCGACTTCAAAAGCTTGAGCTAAAACAGCAAGAGGGGAAAAAAAAAGCAACTTTACTCTGGTCTGTCTCATGCTGTATCCTTTCTCTCTTGCATAACAATGCAGTGTTTAAAACACAGCCCAGGGGATCTACTTTTTAAATCTCTCAGGCAGCCCCAAAGCCCAGATGTTGCTGTTGAGGAAGGTGCTGGGATCCTGACCATGAAGAAGAATGCTCAGTCAGACTTTGAAGCCCATTGTGCAATGCGATTTTGTTATTTTCGAAGTTTGACTTCATGGTCAAGTACAGAATACAAAAGAGATAGACCTACTACCAATGTAATCCAAATTTCCCAGTTAACATTCGAAAAGGGTATCAAAACACATCCATCTGTAGCTCTGTCAAAACTAGTTTAAAGCAAGACTTTTTAGTACACCCAAAACTGTGGACCTGTAAAACAGGTCAGGGACTTACAGGCTGCAAACAGTATCCAAAGTACCGTTGAGGCTCCAGAGATCGTGACCATCTTCTCAGGCATTTCAAGTCGCTGCTGGGGTGACGAAATGGAAGCTCCAAAGCCTTCTTTGTGTCCCACGTGAAAGTGTCTGGGAAAAGTGTTCAGCTTCCAAAGCCAGCCAGGCTGGTGTGAGTGAAATAGAAAGTCTGCTCTTATTTATAAAGGGTCTTGCTGGAGAGGCGGAGGGAAATCCCTTCAAGGGGAAACCCAGGGCAGAGCCAGAGAAAAAAGTTTAACTGACAGCCGGCCAAGTCCCCAAGTTAACCCCTTCAGCTGCTCTCAGCGCTGAAGTCACTCTGAGTCCTGGAAAACAAGGCACTTCCAAGTCAATAAATCTCGGGCTTTTCCTGACTTGCAACTCCGAAAGGGTTCTTTCCTGAAAAGATATGAGATAAATATCGTTGCAAAATGAAACTGCCCACAACGTGTGTGTGTGTGTGTGTGTGTGTGTGTGTGTGTGTGTGTGTGTGTGTGAGAGAGAGAGAGAGAGAGAGAGATCATCAGAGGAAGGGAGGGAGGGGCGGAGGCAGAGATGACCAGGTAGACACCCACAGACTTTTCTTCATTAAGGAATATATTTGCAATTTAAAAAAATAGAAATTATTTTCTTTCGACAAAAAGGAAAGTATCCTTTATTTGGATGAGTCACTCTTGTAGACTGGGAGAAAGTATAGCTTCTTAATTTTAAGAGTCTCTATTCATAAGTGTATTTTTGACACAAAAATCAACTCTCTGAAATAATTTTTTTCTAAAGTAAAAAATGAAAGGATGTTGATGGAAAACTAAAGGAATTAATTTTTCCCAGCCCTTTGACCCATTGCTGAATGCCTAGAAGTCCTTCACCGTCTTAAAAGCAACAGAATGAGATCTGTCTAATAAATCTTTGTAGCGAATTTCTTTGGCTGCATTATTTAGCCCCATGTCCAGTTCAAACATGTAAACAGGTTTGCTTTCTGTTGGAGGAGATGAAATGATGATCAATTTTTATTATTTTCTCCTTTCAGTGAAAAAACTTTCTAAAAGACTCAATTAACTGTCTCCGTGAGCCTTATGCATGCATAGCCCATGTCCTGGCAAAATGCTTGCCCATCAAAAAGAAACCGGAATAGCCACTTCCTTGTATTATACACGTGCAGGTCTACCTCCCACACTGCATTATCAGTTCCCTTCATGGCCAGGACTACTTCTTCGTCACAGCTCCTTCTACTCCTTAGATACTGAGTGCATGAGTTTGCATATAGTGACTACAAAACTTGGAAGAGTAAAAGTTAAAAATCTAGAAAAGAAACCTTTAGGATACTAATCACAGTTCAAAAGTGTCACTTGAAAAAAATTAATTCTGCAAGAAAATTGCAAAGTTCTAGGACATTTAAGCGTATGGAAAATAAACAATGTCATGCCATATGACAAAGGTCATCAATTGATGGATCTACAAACTCCAACTGCCCCTTCCAGGCATGAGACACTTTTGGACTTTCTCTTGGAAATATATATGGCTCCCCTGACAGACAAGTAGAAAAAAAGTAATTGAGTAATATATCCTAGGGCTATGGTGATATATTCAAGAATCAATGAAATTAGCTGCAAAACATGTAATCTAGGGGATTTCAACAATTCTCATACCATGAAAGAGGAATATTGGCTTTACAACCATTGCTACTCAACTTTGGGTTGGATCAAAGGCATGTATATAATTTTAATTCCATTTCTTTGACATTCAAAAGTAAATAACTACTGGGAATCACTCAAACCCCACGCTATTTGGTATCAACTTTTATCCAAGTAAGTGGAAGAATAATTCCTTTCAGGAGAGAGGAATAGTAAATACAACAGAGGAAGTGAAGAAAACAATTTGGTGAATTCCACAATGTCAAATCCTTCCTCATTTGAGAATCACTACTCTAACATGGCCGAAGGACCTCTCTGTAGCTCCATTTACTTCTATGTAAATCTTCTATAGTAGTTTTATTAGAGGCCCCAAGAACCTGAAGTTTGAAGCTGAATCAGTCGTATAATGAGGACCAAGATGAAGGCAATCCTAATTGTGCAGTCCTTATGTGGTAAATCCTCATGATTCTACCATGACTGCTCCTTCACCAAACACTGCGTCTGTGTTTCAGGCGTGACATATGAGAAGTAAAGGGCAAGAATTCAAAATCAGCAGAGCCTGTTCTCTTTGAAGGAGCTTCCCAAGAAGTCTCAAGCAGTGGATCCCATCATCGTCTCACTGAAATGCCCCAAGTAAATCAAGATTCTGTTGGCAAGAGCTAGGGAGAGGGGAGGATGATGGGTGAGAGTTAGGCAGGCATTAGCAATGTAACTATTTTCTAATTCAGTTCAGCTTACATAGTGTCTATTGAGACCCCATGTTTGCGTTAGGAATAAGTAAATGCCAATGGGGATGCAGTTTTTAGAACGAAGAAAACCTTCATGATGTCAATAAAAGACTTTAACATAGCTCAACAGGCGACTCAATAAAGGGACCATTGATTTGACTGCCACTCGAGAAACAAAATCTATCTCAGTGAACGGATGCAAGTTTAAGATCTTGAAAACCTAAATTATAGGGAGAATCACGTACTAAGAAATCAAGTTCCATGAAGTTATTATGACGTTCAAGGATTTTGGAAAAAGAGATTACTTCTATCACCATGAGTAAAAAAGTTTATTCAACAAAATGCATGCACAATGTGGGTGTTCCTTGAATTTTAATGAGGATGTTTTGGTACGTATTAAGAAGGTTTTCAGCACACACACAAAAAATATTTCTCTCCCCTTCGTAAGTTCACAGGAGAGGTTTGATTTTTGCTGTCAGTGCTTTGCCTGTGTCATGTGTTGGCACACGGTAATTCAAGTGAGCAGGGATGTTCTTGTCTATTTCAGCTCCCCTTAGGGTGACGTCCATGGTTTCTACTAACCCCCTTCCATGAAGTTTTACAAACTTGTCTTGCTTTGAGATGATCCTACTCTTCCTAACATGGGTATGACTGTCTCAACAGACTTTACCTGGCCCTTAGAAGTCCTTCGTGATCATTTTCAAATTTTACCTGAACTGATATTGCTTCTGTTTCGGGTGTCAATGAAGTGATATCAGATAAATGAAACATTCTTTCTGGGGCAATAATTTAAGACTTTTTTTTCAGTTTCTAGTAACTCTTCATGCTTTTGCAATTCTTCATCTAACCAGTCAACTGAAGGGCACTGTCATCATTGCTTTTGAGCTATGGGAGAAGTAGGTGGGTTTTTCTGTCTTTATAGTCGCATGATCAGGAAACACAGAAGTGTTTGATTGGACAAGATCAAACAGGGAGTGATCGTGACCATGAGTACGGAGGAGTTGAGTTTTAAATCCAAATTTCTTACCCAGGGATCTCTGCGAGGTACACTCTACTCTGCCAAGTCACCAAAGGTGGTGAGAGGGTACCACCTTTCCTTCAAGCATTAATGTCATCATGATATTTCATCGCAATGGGACAGTTTGACTATGGTAGGCATTATGACCCATTTCTCAGTGACCATACCCATTTCT